GAAAAAGCTAAATTCCACAAAACAAAAGCCGAAGAATAAATAGGTTCATATTAATTTAATTTTAAGCAAATCATTGGAAACATTACTTGAAATTAAAATTTGAAATCGAATAATACAGAATACAAGTTATGTTTAAGCAAAAAATAAAATTCAATTCTCATATAAAAATTTAAGTGTACCATTATTTTCTTCATGATCCAATGATCGGATGTAAACCAAATAAGTATGGAACCACATATGAGTTACCGCCTTTTCTTTAAAAAAGTAATTATAGAAATCGGTCAACGTGGTCCAAAGTTATGCGGTGACATATGTACATAACAAAAATATATTTCGAAGTCGGTTAAAAAGTTAATATAACTTATGTATGAAAATTTCAGTCGAACGTTATTTTTTAACTAAACTTTCAGTTTTCACAAAAGTTAGGCAGGTTACAACTCATTTATAATTTTATATAAATTATCATCGGACTGATTATTATAATCGATACTCTGGTTTTCGTATGCCTTATTTGTTCCAATCATCTTTAAATAACTTCTTGGAATTTCATAGTCTGTGCAGCACTTATTATGCCTTTTAAGACCGTATCTGGAAATTTATGTTATTTAATATAAAACTTCTACACGAGTTGTTTATAAAAATTGTACCTTATACTTAATATAGCATTTATAGTAATTAAGTGTATACTGTTGCGTAGCTTTGTTTTCACCAAGTTTAGCTGACTGAATAATCGTTCCACGTCTGCATTAGACCAAGGTAGTGAAAGTAAATGAAGTGCAAATTCCGCCAAATCGGAAAACAATTTGTTACCACCTGCATCCGTATAAGTTTGAACTTCTGCCCAAAATTGCATTGTATTGCTTATATTATTCCATTTTACAAAATTAATTCTATTATACTGAATTATAATTTTTTCTATCATATCATCACTGTAATTAAAATGTTTTAAAACATCTTCTATCTCCTCATGCGATGCACGTAAAACATTGCCCACTGAAAACATATTAACTTTTTTAATCGTATCGAAATTATCTGGTAACCTGCAATAATAACATTTTTCAAATAATTTTATATTAATACGTATGTATATGTGCATGTTACTATTATACCTTTGTTTTAGTTGGTTGATAAGCACTACTACAAAATTTGTACATATTGTTCTTATATATTTTTCTGATTCCTCGGTTAGCCCAGAGGAGGATTTCATCTCTAATATTTTCTTTTCGAAGTTATATCCCAAATAGCAACTTTTATTGATATATAGCTCAAAATCAATCGAGATTACATCTACATCATTATCTGGGCTAATGATTTTACTTTTTAAAGAATTAATTACAACTGCAAAGTCTTTAAGTAATTTCGTCGGGTCAGTATTGTTACTTTGAAAGCTATTATTAAGAGCAAGTAACTCGGCAAGTATTGGCCTCAAAAACAGAAGGTAGAGATAATTTCGTTCATCTTTATACATTTCGTACAGAATTTCTGCTTTATGACATTTTTCAGAATTGCTAGTAATACCAAAATGTGTCTTCATCTCCAGCCACTGCTGTAGTATTCGCGATACGGTCCCTTCAATTGAAAGCCATCGTGTGTCGCTAACTCTTGGAATTTTTAACGGCGCCTTGAAAAAAAAGATAATCAGGCAGGTTCTGCAATTCATTTCCGAGTGAATTTCAATCAAATTAGCGTTGAAGTCAAATTGACAGGGTTTGAAATTCACTCGGAACTGAATTGCAGAACCTGCCTGTATATAATATAATTGCATTGTATTTTTCCTAATACTTGTATATGAACATATGTTAGCTTATATTTACATTTTCATCGTTGATTAGCTGGAAAATCTGTTTGTATTGTAATCTGCGACTGGAACTTTTACTGAACCAGTTGTAAGTCTCATAAATAAGAAATTCAACGCCGTGAGGAAGGCACTCTTTAGAAGCATGATTAATTGCCAACTGGATAGAATGGCAGACACATTTGACCAAAGTTAGAGATGGAATTTCTCGCTTTAATTCCGTGTAGACACTTTTGTTGCGACCAACCATGACGTTGGCGTTGTCTGTACCAATTCCGATAAGTTTATTAATATTTAGTTTAAGCTTTTTTAATTCTTTTCAGACAGTCCACTATACCACCAGAATCTGCATTTTCCAGTTCTGCTAGTGATAGAAACGTTGATATAATTCGGTTATGCGTTTTACTGAAGTAGATGATGACAATGCCTAAACATACATAGAAGAAAATTTAGATTAGAATTTTCAACTAGCACAATAATGTTTTACCGACTTACCGAGAAGTTTTGTTACACTAATGTCAGTGGATTCGTCCAGTAACAAACTAAACTTGGAATCGCCGATGTCCGTCCTTAATTCTTCAAAAAAGTGCGGAGCCAACACATTTTTTATAATATTTGTACACTTCGTTCTATGCAGCCGTATCTCAATCGCATCACTAAATTTTTTTTTGCACATTTCACTTAAATGGTCCACAGGCGCAATGGAGCTATGCTGAGCTACATATAACGCCAAACTAGCTTCCTGCTCCGCTGCTTTTAACGATGCAGGTTTGAATGGTAGCTTAGTTTGATTTACAATGTTCCCACTCATGGTTTCATGTTTTTTTGTCTTGGCGTGAGCCAGCAAGTCGCTTAATTTTGATATTAAGGAGGTTTTGCAGTAAACACAGTATGCACGTCCTTCGTCGTCCTTGTCTTGCCGAATCCATGGCTTTAAAGTTGGATGCTTAGACCACTCAGGTCGAAATTTCTGCTTGTAATTTGATTTTATCATTTTACTTAAATATCACGTTATGATTTATGTACATATTTTGCAACGCCTATGCTGTTTGCGAAATTCAAATTCCCTGCAACTGGTATACTTCTTCATGTCAAAAGCTCCATTCACAATATCCAACAAAGAGAGTAGCCAAATTGTAGTGTTATTAGAGAACGTAGAATTATCTGACTGAAGCCCACCGTCAATGAACTGATTGGGCCTTATCAGTGTGGCTTTAGACCTGGCAAATCCACCATAGACCAGGTATTCACAATACGCCAAATCTTGGAAAAGACCCGCGAGAAAAGGATCGACACTCACCACCTATTTGTCGACTTTAAAGCCGCTTTTGACAGCACTAAAAGGAGTTGCCTATACGCCGCTATGTCTGAATTTGGCATCCCCTCAAAACTCATACGGCTGTGTAAAATGACGTTGAGCAATACCACCAGCTCCGTCAGAATTGGAAAAGACCTCTCCGAGCCGTTCGCCACAAAACGGGGTTTCAGACAGGGCGACTCCCTTTCATGTGACTTCTTTAATCTGATGTTGGAGAAGATAATAAGAGCTGCAGAACTGAACCGCTCAGGAACAATTTACTACAAGAGCGTGCAATTGCTGGCTTATGCCGATGACATCGACATCATCGGTAACAAAAACCGCGAAGTCTGTTCTGCCTTTTCCAAGTTGGATAGGGAAGCAAAGCGCATGGGTCTGGTGGTAAACGAGGACAAGACGAAGTATCTCCTGTCATCAAACAAACAGTCAGCACATTCGCGCCTTGGCACCCACGTCACTGTTGACAGTTACAATTTCGAGAAAGTAGAGAATTTCGTTTACTTGGGAACCAGCATTAACACCGATAATAATGTCAGCATTGAAATCCAACGTAGAATCACTCTTGCCAACAAGTGCTACTTTGGACTGAGTAGGCAATTCAGGAGTAAAGTCCTCTCTCGACGTACGAAAACCACGCTCTATAAGTCACTCATCATGCCCGTGCTGGTATATGGCGCAGAAGCATGGACAATGACAACATCCGATGAGGCGGCTCTTGGGGTGTTTGAGAGAAAGATTTTGCGGAAGATTTACGGTCCTTTACGCGTTGGCGACGGCGAGTACCGCAGACGATGGAACGATGAGCTGTATGAGCTTTACAACGA